TTTTTTCTTATATCTCTCCTTTTTTACTTTCTTTTTCTTCTTCCCAATTTTTGAATTCTGAATGTCATTTCCTTCCTTTCTCCTTTCTTTCTTTCTTTCTTTGATTTTATTTTTCTCTTATCTCTTTCCTTCTTCTTCTATTTCTGTTTCTTCAACTTTTTTTTCTTTTCTCTGTTATTACTACTTTCGTATATTCTGATGTCGCTGGCAGCCAGAGCTGCGAGACTTTCTTTTTTCTTTCTTTCTTTCGACCTTTGTTTTGGATCTTCTGTTCCTTTTCTTTCAGCAGCAGTTAACAGCAGCAGTAGCAGCAGCAGCAGCAGCAACAGCAGCAGTAGCAGCAGCAGCAACAACAACAGCAGCAGGAGCAGCCGTTGCCGTCGCCATACAATATAGATAAATGCGAATAGCAAATATAGGTAATTGAATCGGAGAGGAAAGTCGGACTGGCCGAACACCGTGGAAAAAAAAATGCTTCTGCTGAATTCTTGCTTGGAATCTGTCGACTTTTGAAGACGGGCAAATTCCGGCGGGGAAAAGAATATAGGGTGTGAGGGGAGGGGAAAATGGAGGAAGAAATACCAGGGGAGAGAGGAAGGGAAGGAAAAGGGGAGGAGCTGTTTAAAAGACGACTGACTGATTAGATATTTCGTATATTTCTTCGTTGTGTGCGCTTCCAATGCCACTAATGCTAAGATCGTAACCGTTTTCGTCGATGCTTCTCACCCCCACCACCATCATCGGTTTCTTCTTCTTCTTCTTCTTCTTCTTCTTCTTCTTCTTCTTCTTCTTCATTTTTAATTCCGCCCCAATTTTCTTTTACTACTTTTCTTTTTCTTCTTCTTCTTTTCTCCATATTTTCCTTCTTTCTCTTTTTCGTTCAATTTCATTTATATTTTCTAGGGCTTTTGTCATTGTTTTCTTTTTCCCTTTTAATTTTCTAAGAGTTCATTTTCTTGTCTTCGTTATTTCATTTTATTTTCTTCCTTCTTTCCTTTTTCTTCTTTTCTTCAACGTTTCTTTATTTCTCTTCGTTCGGAACATCATCTCATTTTTCCTTTTCCTTTCTATTTTCTTCTTCCTTCTCCTCCTCCTCCTCGTTCTTCTTCTTCTTCTTCTTCTTCTTCTTCTTCTTCTTCTTCTTCTTCTTCTCATCCTTTTCTTTGTCTCTTCCTTCGTATCATTATTTCATTTTTCCATTCTATATTCCAGAACTTTTTTTTCCTTTTCTTTTCTTCTTTTGTTTTTCCTTTTCTTTTCTCTTTTTCTTCTTCTTTTCCTTTTCCTTTTTTTTCTTCTTTTTCTTTTCTTTTTTTTCTTTGTCCTTTTCGTTTTTCTATTCCTTCTTTTCAACATTTTTCACTTTCGGTATTCGAGGGCTTTTTCTTCTACCTTCCTTTTTCGTCTTCTTTTCATCATCCTTTTTTTTTCACTTCCTTCGTGTCATTGTTTCTTTTTTTTTTTCATTTTTATATCGTAGGACTTTTTCGTCTTTCTTTTCTTCTTCTTCTTCACCTTCTTTTTCTTCTTCTTCTTCATTCTTTCCTATTTTTCACTTCCTTCGTGTCATTATTTCTTTTTCTTTTTTCATTTTTATATCGTAGGACTTTTTCGTCTTTCTTCTTCTTCTTCTTCTTCACCTTCTTTTTCTTCTTCTTCTTCTTCATCCTTTCCTTTTTTTCACTTCCTTCGTGTCATTATTTCTTTTTCTTTTTTCATTTTTATATCGTAGGACTTTTTCGTCTTTCTTTTCTTCTTCTTCTTCTTCTTCTTTTTCTTCTTCTTCTTCTTCATTCTTTCCTCCTTTTTTCACTTCCTTCGTGTCATTATTTCTTTTTCTTTTTTCATTTTTATATCGTAGGACTTTTTCGTCTTTCTTTTCTTCTTCTTCTTCACCTTCTTTTTCTTCTTCTTCTTCTTCATTCTTTCCTATTTTTCACTTCCTTCGTGTCATTATTTCTTTTTCTTTTTTCATTTTTATATCGTAAGACTTTTTCGTCTTTCTTTTCTTCTTCTTCTCCTTCTTCTTCTTCTTCTTCTTCTTCTTCATCCTTTCCTATTTTTCACTTCCTTCGTGTCATTATTTCTTTTTCTTTTTTCATTTTTATATCGTAAGACTTTTCGTCTTTCTTTTCTTCTTCTTCTTCGCCTTCTTTTTTTCTTCTTCTTCTTCTTCATTCTTTCCTATTTTTTCACTTCCTTCGTGTCATTATTTCTTTTCTTTTTCATTTTTATATCGTAAGACTTTTTCGTCTTTTTCTTTTCTTTTTCTCCTTCTTCTTCTTCTTCTTTCTTCTTCTTCTTCTTCTTCTTCATCCTTTCCTATTTTCACTTCCTTCGTGTCATTATTTCTTTTTCTTTTTTCATTTTTTATATCAAGACTTTTTCGTCTTTCTTTCTTCTTCTTCTCCTTCTTCTTCTTCTTCTTCTTCTTCATCCTTTCCTATTTTTCACTTCCTTCGTGTCATTATTTCTTTTTTTTTTTTTTTTATATCGTAAGACTTTTTTTCGTCTTTCTTTTCTTTTCTTCTTCTTCTTCTTCTTCTTCTTCTTCTTCTTTCTTCTTTTTTTCCCTATTTTTCACTTCCTTCGTTCATTATTTCTTTTCTTTTTTCATTTTTATATATCGTAAGACTTTTCTTTTTTCTTTTTCTTCTTCTTCTTCTTCTTCTTCTTCTTCTTCTTCTTCTTCATCCTTTCCTATTTTTTCACTTCCTTCGTGTCATTATTTCTTTTTCTTTTTCATTTTTATATCGTCAGACTTTTTCGTCTTTCTTTTCTTCTTCTTCTTCTTCTTCTTCTTCTTCTTCTTCTTCTTCTTCTTCATCCTTTCCTATTTTTCACTTCCTTCGTGTCATTATTTCTTTTTCTTTTTTCATTTTTATATCGTAAGACTTTTTCGTCTTTCTTTTCTTCTTCTTCTCCTTCTTCTTCTTCTTCTTCTTCTTCTTCTTCTTCTTCATCCTTTCCTATTTTTCATTTCCTTCGTGTCATTATTTCTTTTTCTTTTTTCATTTTTATATCGTAGGACTTTTTCGTCTTTTTTCTTTTCTTCTCTTCTTCTTCTTCTTCTTCTTCTTCTTCTTCTTCTTCTTCTTCCTTTCCTATTTTTCACTTCCTTCGTATAATCATTTTCTTACCTTTTTTTTATTTTCAATGATATTTTCTTTTTTCTTCTTTTTCGGTTTTCTCTTCTTATTATTACTTTCTTCATCTTTTTCTTTTTCCTTTTCCTTTTGATAATCCTTTCCTTTTTATGTTCTATACATTTTTATTTTATTTTCTTCTTCATTTTCTTCTTCCTTTTCTTTTTTTCCCCTCTTTTTCCTCTTCTTTGCGTCATCCTTTTTTTCTTTTTCTTCGGATCATCATTTCTTTTTTTCTTCTTCCTTTTCTACAGCAGAAACCCACCCTACCACGCCCATTGTAGTGAACCACACTCATTCCCTTCGTATTCCATTGGTGAGACCTAACTTCCACTCGAACAGCAGCATCCCACGAACCGCTGTATTGTGAAACCGACACAAAAGAGAATTCTTTCCCAATCTTACTTTGTTCAAGTGTAGGGTTAATTGATACCACCCGTACATATACGCATAAACTACCTCTTTCTTCGTAACACTCTACCTTGAGTAGCTCTTGGGCCTTGTTCAGAATGAACATTACAGAAAAAACATTATTCTGACATATAAAAATTTATATACCGGGTGTAACAGTAAAATTGTCCAAATCGATTAACAGCATAATTGTCCATCCTACACAATGTTTAATATCTAAAAAGCCACTAAGCTAATTAAGACATTTACCCATCTTGATAATATTTGTTATAAGAATACCTAAAAAAAATCCTTTGAGTTATTCAGCTAGAAACAGAACAGGTTAAAATCGTTTTGTGTCAGCCCCCACACTATCTTCCCAGTTGAGCAATGGTGAGAGGAAAAAGATCATTCCTGCCTTCAATAATGGTACCAACATTCATACTCTGGCTTCCATCTTCAAAGTTCATTCAAGAACCACCATGAGAATGGTGAATAAGATTAAAAAACTATGAACAGTAGAGAGGAAACCTGGATCAGGAGGTCACAACAGCAAGAGGGATCATCATGTCAATTTAGAGCTAAAGAGATCAATTAGAAATGATCCAACTCAATCTATAAGGTGTTTAGCACGTGAGAGAGGAGTTTCAGATATGACAGTGCAAAGAGCAGTGAAAAAAAGATTTGAAAATGAAATCGTACATAGGCACCTTGTTACAGCAGGACGGAAAGTTAGAATGTTAGATAGGGGGAAGATTATCCTGAATAAGTTGTGAAATGATCCTGGAATTATATACATTTCAACTTTATTTCAATCCTTCATGAACTGCCGATCCTTAGTTATGATTAATTAATGATGAACATGGCATTTTCGTTTATGATCGATTTAGGTATGTGGCATGAAAATGTAGAGACCAAACAATAGGTTTGGTTTGATTTTTTTTACCGCATATCAACCTCAATGGGTTTTTTAATGCCGACAAAATTTTTATTTCTGGTAATATTTTTCATCTATCTATCTATCTATCTATCTATGCTATGCTATGCTATTCTGTGCGTTTCTATCTATCTATCTATCTATCTATCTATCTATCTATCTCAGTATATATTGGTGTATTTTGTTTTACGGCATATCAACCTCAATGGGTTATTTAATGCCGACAAAATTTTTATTTCTGGTAATATTTTTTATCTATCTATCTCAGTATATATTGTTTTTTTTTTTTTGTTGTTTTGTTTTACGGCATATCAACCTCAATAGGTTATTTAATACCGAATTTTTTTCATCGGTGGTAATATTTTGTTTTGACAAAAATCTATTTCTGGTAATATTTTTCCTTCAAAAATGTATTGCTGGTAATAACTTTTAAAAAAAGGATTGCTAGTAACATTTTTTCTTCAAAAATATTGTTGGTAATATATTTTTTTTTCAAAAAATTATTGTTGGTGATATTTTTTTTACAA